GATGGCCAAGCCTCCTCCCATCTCAGACTCGGCGTCTGAGTCTGAGCACGAGGCCGAGGCAGGCGAAGCCTCTGAGACTCTCAGGTTTAGGGCTTAGGGGGTTTAGGGATTAGGGCTTTGGATTTAGGATTTAGGGTTTAGGGTTTAGGGCTTAGGATTCTGTTTGGGTTGAAGGTTTAGGGCTTAGGATTCTGTTTAGTGTTCAGGGTTTAGGGTTTCGAACTCCGAAAAGAAGTGTTTCGGGTTACGTAGGGTTCAATCAGGGTTTCGGGATTGAGAGTTTTGGGGTTAAGGGTTCCATGGGGTATAGGAGTCGGACCTAAACCCTAAACCCTAAACTCTAACCCCTAAACCGTGGGTTTAGGGTTCTATGGGGTTTAGGAGAGTCTTGGAGTTTTGGGGTCAAGGTTTAAGGGTTTGGGACTTAGGGTTTAGGGTTTAGGGTTCAGGGCTTAGGGTTTAGGGTTTAGGGCTTAGGGCTTCGGGTTTAGGGTTTAGGGTCAAGGTTTAGGGCTTTGGGTTCTCTGATTTTCTATGGCATACTATGGGTTCTGTGTGTCTCTATGGGTTATAAACGGTTATATATAGGGTTAGGAAGTCAATGAGGAATTTAGGCCTGTTTGTTTGGGTTTTTAGGTGAGGGCTTGTGGGGTTTAGGGCTTAGGGTCTAGGATTTCAGTCGAGTGTTTAGGATTATGGGAGCTATGGCTTATGTATGGGGCTTTAGGACTTCAGAGTCATGGGGGATTTGTCGGGTGCTGCCTTTTTCCGGGCGCTGGGCATTTGTATCGGTTTTGTTTTATAGAGTTTAGGCTTAAGTGTTTAGGGTTTCGGTGTTTATTTTACATAGCGCCTTTAGGGTTACGTCTGTGGTTATGATGCCGGTCCCAAAACCCTCAAAGCCAGTAAAACCCCGTCAACCCGCATAAGCGACTTTAAACAACTTCAGTAAGCCCCAGACAAACCTTTGATAAGAACCCCATACGGCCTTCGTTAACACAGTCCTTATAATTATAGGAATCCTTGTGAAAGCCCATTCTGCCAAATTGGAACTTGGTGTCGTAGGTCCCATAGAGCTTGAGCCTGTTAGACAACCGGTCGGGTGGTGGGGGGTTCCGGGGGTCAGGGCCTGTAGGGCGTTGGGGCTTTGGGTCAGGCATTCGGCTCGAGGGTTCGGGGCTTCCGAGTTTCTTCGAGCCTAAGCCGGGCTTACAGTTAAGGGGCTCGGAACACTCGGATGTGGGAGGGATGTTGAATGTAGGGTCGTGGACTCTCCGGTTCTTTTCAGGGTTTCAGGTATAAGCTATAAGAAATATATTGATAAGGGTATCATACCGGGTTGAGAATATAGGGCTGAGGGTTCAGGATGGGTTCGATGGTTCAGGGCTTCGCGATTCTGTTTCGGGTTACCGGCCTCTCTAAGCCAGCAACAGCTTCGATGAACCTGCTACTTGAAAAAGGCATCAGTCTGTCTTCGGGCTCAGTAAGTAGGGAACTCTTCAAGCAGTCGAGACCTTCAGTTATAGCTATCTTGTCTTTTGACGCAGCATGAGCGGAGCAGGAGCAGGTCGTTATCCCTTCAGCCACTGTCGTCTAGCTGGTGCATCCTCATGCAGGCCGGGGCGAGGTTGGTTCATTCAGCGTCGGGCGGCATCCATGGTTTCTGAATGCAGTTTCGGGTGGAGCGCTTCGAATCCATGTTTCAGGATACTCCGACTACTTGGAGGTTCATGGGTAGTTATAAGTGGGGTTATAAGTCCCCTATAATTTGGGTTATAATTATAGTTACCCTACTTATAACTCCATTTATAACTACCCATGGACCTCCAAGTATCCCTCTGCTCTCATCGCGCAGCTTACAGGCTTACAGGTGCATTGTTCAGCGTCCATGCAGGTGTCAAGGCTGTGTAAATGTGCGCATCGGGGCAAACGCAGTTCCACTTCCCACGACGGACGGACGGCAATACTGTGATCAATCGGATGGTCTCTAAGGAAAAACCCCAAAGTTTCTGCCCTAAACCCTAAACCCTAAACCCTAAACCCTTATAAATCCTAAACCCTAAACCCTAAATTTTAAACCCCTAAAACCCTAAACCCCTAAAACCAAGCTCCCAAGCACACCTTAAGTGCTCGGGAGGCTCCGACAGACGGCCGTGGGTGTTTCAGCGTGAAAAAAGCGGTGCTGGTCGGGGTTTAGGGTGTAAGGTTTCGGGTTTGTGGGTTTGGGATTTACGGTGGGAAGATCACGGTTTTAGGGTGTTGGTGTGTGGGTTTAGGGAATTTTGAACCCTAAGCCTAAACCCTAAACTCCCTACACCTTTGGGACTTAGGGGATTAAGGTTCTAGGGTTTTGGTGTAGCCGGGTTCGGGTTCATTTCGCGGTGTT